ATATATATATATATATATATATATATATATATATATATATATATATATATATATATATATATATATATATATATATATATCTTTTTTATGCGGAAGAGACCGTTGGTTTTAGTCTTGCTCCATGCTGTTTTAGAATACCAAATGCAGCTTTTTGTTATTGTTATAATTTTGCCTTGACTTAGATGAATGATATTTTGCTTTCATTATAGAGTGCTGTTAATATTTGACGCTATTGATAATGGTTGCTGTTTTTAATTTTGATTTCTTTTCGTTTCGTTCTCACTTGAGTAAGCAGTAAAATACAATATAGCGTTAAAACTTTTCAAAGAAAATCATGTATATTTATTACTTCGATCAAGTAAAAGTCACTGGTAATATTTTTATAGTTTTGAAACCTTATGTCATATTATGCTAGAAGTTCGTATCTGACCTGTCTCACATGTTTGTGATTTGCTAGATAATTGTGTCTTCTCTTTATTATATGTCTATGATATACTGGAAGTTAGTCTCTTGCTTCTTGCCTGTTTTACCTATTGGTGATATACTCGAAGTTCTTGTCTTGCCTGTCTCACCTGTCTTTGATATGATCGATTTTCATGCCTTGCGTATCTCATATCCTGTGATATGCTGGAAGTTCGTGTCTTACCTGTCCCACTTGTCTGTGATCTATTTGAAGTTCCTGTCTTGAATGTCTCACCTGCTTAAACATTATGGTAGACGATGTTTACACTTTGTGTTCAAGGTTTTGAAAATGACATTAGAAGAAGTGTGAAGTTTCCATGCTTATATGTCAAGAGTTGTTGTTAAAGCTCTGTGTTAACATGGATGAAAGTCAAAACTGTGTTAACACGGATGTAAGTCAAAGATCTTCAACATAACTATTTGGCACAAGTGTTCGACGTGAGAATGATGTTAAAAAAACAATAATCTGAAGGAAACAAGTCATACAGCTCTTTTCACCGGTTGTCACCTGAGCGTAATAATGTCCACTCAGACAAAATTCACGAAATTCGCATATTTTGGAGCCGTAGCTTCGGTTTGGTGCAACTCAGAATAGTCGATGATAGCTTGATGGATAACAAAATACCTCAGGAGTAAAACAAGCTATAGAATATGGTCCTATGCCGTTAAAGACGGAAATAGTAGTAGAAAATCGAGGGTCATGGGTGGAACAAAATGTTCGGAATTTACTTACCTCATCTCTTATATAGTATGATAGAGAGGGTCCAATGTCAGAACGTGTTATGGGGGTAAACTGAGATATTTTGTATGATTTTTTTACCTTCAGATTATTGTTTTTTTTATTTCTTAATATCAAGCTCGCGTCGAGCACCTGAGCTATTTGGCTTAAAACTTAGAATAGTATTAAAATAAATGTAAAGTTTATAAACTGATATGTTCTGAATTTCCTTCTTGTCCTCCTCTCTCTCTTACTTAAAAAATATGGTTAACAATATTAACTTTACATGTGAAAGTTTATCAAAATTAGACATAGACAACAATAACAAGCAAATGGACATATGTTAGACACCAGGTTCGCCTAATACTTGTTTTTAAATGTGTACCATTTGAATATCGTTACCGCATAACAATATTTATGAAGAATTTGTATGCTAATACAAAATAAATGTTTTTTTTTATTATAAGAAACAATACTCCTCAGCAATTTCTAATTGTTAGTATATTGCTGTAAATAATTATTTCTTTGATGTTAAAAGGTCCTATTTTATATAAATTAAACATTCAAAATAATAAATAAACACTATCTATTAATCAAATATTTCAGGTCATATGCAAATTAAAATTTTCACATCAGTAATTTACTGTTACATTCCCACATATGTTTTATTTTCTTCATTTAATGAGATAAAAAAATTTAATGAAATATTGCTTTGTTATAATGTAAGATATCAGTTTTTCACTGGTTTAATCTTCCCGCAACGCTCTTGTTGGTGTTGTTAGTATTATAATTGCTATTATTATTATTATTATTATTATTATTATTATTATTATTATTATTATTATTATTATTAGTCTCTTTTGTAACAAGACGAACGAGCTGCTGCATTGCACTCCAACTGATACGTAAGTCCGCAAAGATGGACAATCGCATTAAAATCATGAGTAATATGCCCTGCCTATCATCGTCGCAATCCACAGGAGAAAATACGCTACGCTTCTTTATCACGTGTAACTAACTACACTTGCCAGGATTTCTTCGCTTTTTATGTATACGCATAAACAAAACTACGTCATCAAGGAGACCGTGTAGCAGACTCATATTCAGGCACTAAAATGCCCGTTTTATCAATTGTTATGTGATTGTGCTTGCAAAGGAAACTTTGATTGGCTCATTCACATAAAGTGAAAGGTATTGTTGGGTCACCGTGACGGGAAAAATTTATTCGAGCCTGTAATAATTGGTAAATCGGGTTTATGCCTATTCCGGAGGAAATATGCCCAGAAGCGGCTACAGGCGATAAAGGGGCGTGGTAGCTTATTGCCCGTGGCTTGCAACGTTACCTGCCGATATTGCCACTTAAGGACGATCGAACAGACGCTTCGAAAGTACTATTAAGGAACTGAAAAAATATTTAAATAATAATTCGATGCACACAATAAAAGCTTAGAAAACAAAGCAACTAATCCTTTAGAATCTGAGAATCTGACAAAGGGATAGAAATATCAAAAGCAAATGGCCCAGACAGCCTAATGTGTGTGTGTGTGTGTGTGTGTGTGTGAGAGAGAGAGAGAGAGAGACCTAATGTGTGTGAGAGAGAGAGACAGACAGACTGAGACAGAGAGAGATGGGTGGGAGTGATATATGTGGAACTGACACTAAACAGATAACGTTCCGAAGTAACCGAAGCGCAAATAAGTAAATATCCGTCTTTCTGAAGACTTTCCAGAAAGAGTACACAGCTCTTTATCCATTTTTGTTTAAAATTCGAAACCCGGAAAAGACAGAGAAAAATCACCGACCCGCGGGAGGATAAAAGCAAACGTGTTTATATACCTAGGTTTTCCGAGGCAGAGACCAGAGCGAACGCAGACGATATCAGAATTAGAATGCGTTTGGTACATATAAAAAACAAACAAGAAAAGGTATAAACAAGGAAAGAATTAAAAGAAATAATTTTGGGGGTTAATTTTTCAGAACACACACACACACACACACACACACACACACACACACATACACACACACACGACTCGAAGCAACGCAGTGCCAGATTAAACCCTGTGGAGGCCTCTAGGCAGTCGAAATCTCAGGGTCCCCCTCGCTCTACCTATTGGGTAATCCAGCAATGAAGCAACGTCTTTTATGTAGCAGTGATTTAATCTTTATTCAAGGTCTCTGAAGGGATCTAGTTGGCATCAAAGTTAGAAAACAAACAAATAATAAGAAGATAGCAAAAAGTTCATATTTGTACATAACGTGAGGTATTATATATCTGGAATTATTTTAGGTCTGCCTCAGTGATTGTAGTATCATCTCAAATATAGAACATACACTGTAGAAGGCGAAATAAGTCTTTTGGGTAAACACGATGAAAACTCCTCTCCTGGTAGCCCCATTTTTTTTTTGGTACGATGTGAATTTTTTTAGCGCCTGCAAGAAGAATTAATCTTTGATAATATTTTTGATGTTTTTTTTTCATATGGAGGCTAAAATAAGATTCGAATGTTTGCTCTATTACACTAGTTTGAAAGTCGTCTAAAATTGTTGTACGACTGGGTTCGATTCTCTGAAATCTTCGCACCATAATTCTGCATTCATTCTTTACAGACTAGGCCAATTTGTTGGCAAGAATAAAATGAAAAATTACGTTTTTCTTACGGACATGTCAATACACTGACAAAGAGGAGCGTTTCACTTTCATATTTAAAATGAATGTGACCCACATGGGTCACACTATCCTGTTGAAAAATATTCTAAATAACAAACCTATCTTTACTTGGATAAGATTCCTTAAGGATGCATGTCAACAGAATGCAGTAGATAAAATTGTATTGAGCAATATATGTGGAAATTGCCGTCCATTATAAAACATTCTCAATTAATCCAGTAGTGTTTAGGCGTAGTCAGTTTCACGAAAATCGAAATCGTTAATTGCATGTCAATTGTTTAATTCTGATGTGATTATACGTGTAACTAAGTGTATTTCTATCTCTGTGTGCATGTGAAAGTATATATAAATCAGTTCTTATTGACTAACAATTCCCTAGCACATAATCATACTGAAAATCAAGGTCACAGATTCATAAAAGAAAAAAAATAGGCAGCGATGGGAATTTTCTTTTTTTTTTTGGCCTCATTTGCAAACCTAGTACGTCTAAAGGAAAAACGGAATTCAGCATGCATGCGTGTATACTATAAATTTAGTCCATATATTTTTCTTCTTCATAGAATATATGCATCATTATTCATTAGCGTACCTAAATCAACATATTTCATGTATCTAAGCAAACTGATCTGCTTTCTTTTACAATAACATTTTAAGCCGTAGTGGTGATGCTTCAAATAAAGAAAAAGAACAAAACAAAACGGATAATTTCTATCTAGATGTTTGCACAGAAAGTGTATAAATAAAATAAGTGTTTCATGCTCTTTATCTATTTATTCGATTTTAATGTCAAAAAACGCTGTTCCTAAAGTGAAAAATAAAATTTCATCTCTCACTGATAAATTTCAGCTTTGTTATTTTTCCATCAGGTAACGGTAGCGTGTGTATGTGTACATTGTGTGTGTATGTGTGTGTGTGTGTGTGTGATTTTTAATGTAGCTTTAACAAACTGAGTAATATCGCTACGATGTCTGTATTGTAGAAGTTTATAGTGATGTCTAGCACTGGGGCATCATGCCGCAGACATATGGCATCATGTTTCACCTAGTTACATTACATTATCCTGACACCTGACCGACCAGTCCTAACACTAACTTCTTAATGTTGGGCGCTAGTGAGGCAGCTGCAAATACCATATTTTATTCTTTGGCTTGACTCGGCCGGGTTTGGAACCTGCGACCTCCTGCATCTGAGGCGGACGCTCTAACCACTTAGGCGACAGGAGCTGTAACTATAGTAACATTTCCGTTGAGGGGAGAATCAAAGTTGTTTCTCGTTTTGGGACTGATAGATATGAAGACCAAAAGTCAGAACTTTCATAAAAAGGAGCACTAAAAAGGAGTAAAAAATAAACCCATTGTAAAAATGTATCCTCTACTAGCGTTAATGAATCTAATATATGTCAAGTGAAAGGATTGTAATTAGGGCAATAGTAACTAATCTTGAATCCAGGTCAATGGGATAACATTTGCCATTTTTTTGAGATAGTTCATCCCAAGGGTGAAGATTGATCAATATGCATAATAACAGCGAATGAGTTTTTGTTTACGATGTGAAGGTCATAAAGATCAATTTGGTATTATAGAATCTTAGGAAAAACCCACTCATCACGAAGGCAGAGGCACCAACTTGGACGGTCCGATCAGCCTGATAGGACAGAAGTTTCTCGATCCGGTACTAGTTCAGAAATTAACGATGGTGATGGTGATGTCGACGATGTGAGAGATGTCGCCAGACGAAAGAAACTTCGCCATATCGTTGTAAAATTCCACTGTAACGCGGATAGAAATTCAGAAGGTTTTGAATGACGTCTGCTACCACAAAGATAGGCCGAATGATTAAAAACTTGGTGCATGTGTATAATATCTTAGTGAAGTCAATAAAAAGGCAAAACTGTTTGGCATAATAGCATAATGACGCAGGGTGAGGCACAATGCAAAGTTAGCGAGAGACAAACATAAATCTTTATAAACTCACATGCTTAGGGTGTGTGGAGGACCCATGTCTATACTATCATGGAATATGTGTTGGGCTAAAAAGGAAATTTTGTGAATTGGACTTTCAAAGACGAATTACCAAATTATGATATTCTTTTTCTTAAGACATTGACAAATCATAATGTGAAACGATATTTTGATTGTGAATATATGCATGCAATAATCACATGTGAAGATAATAGGTAAATATAGTGGAGAAGTTTATTTGTATATTTAAACTATGGTTGAAAGAATGGATTATTGGCAAATTAATGTATGATTATAGCTGATCTGAATAAAATTAGAATAGTGACTTTTTAATATATTTATTCTGTACACACGGCACCAAAACAATGACTGGTATTAATGCACGACGATATTATCCAAACTTCAGTATGAAAAAGTTTCATTGCAAAATTTGACCAGTTAGGTAAAGTCTTTTTATTAGGAGATTTCAACTCAAGGACTGGAAACAGACGATATTTTGTTCTATTCTAAGCCAAATAAAAGGATGTAATGTTATGTATGTACATTACGTGCTGGTAATAACCAAACCAGTGATGAACTGGATGATATTATTGATAAATTCGCCTTAATTGCGTTTGCTTCTGCTTGGTCTTTGTTTGCCAAAAATGTTTATTGTTTCTCAGATGATGTTAACATAAAATTAAATATGTGGCTTGATCCAAATCGTATAACTGCATGAGCACGAATCAATGTTAAAACAAAATAAATTGTTATGGAGAAAGAAAACATAAAATAGTTAAAAATACAAAAGGATCAGGGCGACAGATAATACCGATAAGGTAACTAATACAGAATATGAAATGGGTAATTATTTAAATACTGAAACGAGTTGAATACTTGTTTTGCCTAATCATTTTGCTATATAGATGTCAACACAAAGAAAGAAGAAGATGACATACAACATTCAAAGAAGTTAAAGTTCTGCAAATTGTATATAAAACAGTGGAAATGAAACAGATATAAAGTGCTTTAAAATTGTTCAAAGTTGTTGTATAAGCACCATTACCTCAAAAAGTCTACGAATTTCTCAACTAGTACGTCCTTGTACATTGGTTTTCATGCAGGTCACGTTACAATGCTTATGTTTCACATGGTAGATGTCGACACTACAAGAATGTGACCCACTGTCAGAGGACATAAAACAATACCAAAACATATGTGTCATATACCGCATGCGCAACAGGCCAATACCCAAAAGTGGGTTTCATGTTCTCACATTTTGTTTGTAGAGTTTTCATTCCATATATTTTGTCAAAACTTACGAACATTCTGATTTATATAATATTTGAAGTCAGTATATGGAATTAGTCGTTCGAAAAAGGCGCCGTCCGCTGCTTTTTTTGACCATTTCATTGCCCATTATACCAATATGGTCAGGTAGCCAACAGTTGGATGGGTTAGAAAATAGTCTGGTATTTGGGCCTAAAGACTGCATGATATGCGTGGGTTGGATGCATTAGAAAATGGTTGAATAGCATACTGATGATCAGGCTAATATACTTCAGGCAAACGCGGGTGCACAGCGTGTTGATTTTCTTCGGTATTCATAAAGAGTGGAAAACATCCTTTAGCCGTTTCCGCTATTCCAAATATTTTGCCAAGAGGCATAGGTAAATAACTCGTGGAATCTTTATACCATACGTTTCCTACTTTCATGCAAATCGAGAAGAATGTTCTTCACACCGGTGCACGTTCCGGCGCCGTTATCGTTACTCGAACGTCCAGAACATTATAGGCCTAAGCGGTATTCGTTTTCGTAACGAGAACCCATACCTGCTTTTTCTAGGTGTGATCTTGGAACAAAATGGCGGAGAAGAAGATGTGGGTAGCGCCAAAATAGTTTTTTTTTTTCTTCTTCAAATTTAAACTATTTATATATTTACTATAATCCAGGATAATATGAGAATATCCAGGGAAGACCAAGTATAGGTCGACTATTTCCATGGATATTCCCTTCACTTCAGGAGCTCGTAACTTTATCATACATTTTGGAATAACGTCTAAGCTAATTTCATTTAATTACAATCTTAATTTAATTTAATTACAATTTTAATTGCAATATTTAATTACAATCTTAATTTAATTTAATTACAATTTTAATTGCAATCTTTAATTACAATCTTAATTTAATTTAATTACAATTTTAATTGCATTCTTTAATTACAATCTTAATTTAATTTAATTACAATTTTAATTGCAATCTTTAATTACAATCTTAATTTAATTTAATTACAATCTTAAAAAAACTATCCATTGGAGGAAGTTGAATCAGTAAGTAAAACCGGTTACAAAAAAATGGAATCAGGTATTGGGGGAAACACATTTGCTTCAATATACTTTTTTGAATAACGTGTAGAATTGTCTTTTCTTAACTTGGCAGACGAGTATTTTTTATAATATCTGCCTCAGTGTAAGAAATAGTAATTTATAACAATCTATAACTATGTACATTCATTTAGCATGGTTGAGGTAATTTATATAATTCCAAATACTGTACATGAAATTAAAAAATAATAATAAAAACGTATTAGTTTAACTGTACTACTGTACAGAATGTACAAGATGATTGTGATCTGTGGTGTAGCAATCTCCCACGAAAAACACCTAACTGCTGGAAGCCCAGGTCATGTGGACACCCTAAATTCTAAACAAACCCCTTATTTATTGGTGAGGTCCCCGGCCTTTAGTGAGGGGGGGGGGCGCCGCACACATAATTTCTTGCTAGGTCGCTGAGAGTGTCAGGTCACTACAAAAGAAACATACTCATGAGGTTATAAGACAACTTTCTGCTTTATTGAAAACAGAAATAATCAATAGTCCTAGTCTTATCCCCAAGCATAATGATGAGTGCGTTTTTGTTGTCAGACAGGCATAACTGTTCACAATGTACATAGGTCAGCTATACCTGATCATATTTATTTATATGTATGGACCTGACTTCAATAGGTTAAGAAGCTGATTTCTGCTTTGTTCTCCTATTACTTCATTTTGAGAAATGTAATGGTACTGATTAGTATCCTCTGCCTCTTCCATGTTGATAAAAACGAGGATATCACATGCTGCCATAACAAAATTACAAACTGTTGCAACATCAGCACAGTGAAGTGCAGTCAAACGCATAAATCGACCCTTTAGGTGACCAATGGTCATTTCTACAGTATGAATAATTCCTGATAAGGCTCTGTTGTATCTCCGTTGCTGAGCTGTCAAGTGGTCATTGTCCCGAAAAGGTGTTTGTAGCCATATCTTTAGAGGATAAGCACTATCTAGAAACTCTTGCCTCAAGATGTGATGGTTTTCTTCTTTCTCATACAAGGGGAATTTCTGAGAACTCTTGCAAAATGTATTGATCCTGGCCAACCAACAAATGCATGTTATAAGCATTCTGTCATCTACAACAATCTAGCTGTACTGATGGGAAGCCTTTTCTGTTAATATATGCTCTTTCCCCAGCCGTAAGATTGACTAATCAAATATGTATGCCATAAATCACCCCTGCAACATCCGGAATACCACTGACATCACAAAATGGAGTCACAATTTCTTGACAGCGGTCATGATCAGGCCATTTAATAAATTTGTTAGCACCGTCTTTAAAAACCTTGGCGACGGAATGAATACAGCCTTGGGCAGTACTAGGGGAAATGCCAAATAGGTTCGCAGTGTCTCTAACACTTTCGAAGTTACTAATATGACACAGAAACACTAGTAGTTGATTAGCGAGAGAAACTGTGTCCCGTCCTCCGTCTTTCCTGACCATAGCATCTGCAAACTCTGCCAATAACAAGTTATAAATAGTTTTTTCCAATCCTGAAATGTCAACGGAATTCATGGTCGTCCATATTAAGTATAATTTCCTCAGCAAAGCATTTCACTTTGGCCAGATCATCTCGTCGAGCCAATACACCAAGCAAAATATCGTCAAGTTTATACACTAAGTCAGTTTCTTTTTCCTTCTATCGCGAAAAACTTTTCACGAATTGGAATAAGCCCTTAGCGTCGTTCAGAGCCGCCATATTGTAGTGCGCTCTACTAATTTGAGAGCGTGATCGAGTGTGCAACGTGCTCATTGTTCGACTAACGCAGGAATGTGCTTTTCGTGGTCAGGAACAAGTCTCTCGCATGCATCCATAGTGTGTAGAAAACAGTTAAAAAAGAGATAATTTCTTTTTCGTGTTCTGATGATCCAATAATTTATTTGGTTTGTTGTCATATCTCTGAATA